GTTTTTTTTTTATTTGCTTCATTTGAACTATGTGGTTGTTAGGACTTTGTTATGTAGGTTTCATTTCATGTGATGTTTTTTTTTTGTATGCATTTAAACTTTGTTGTTGTTAGAACTTTACAAAATGGACTGAAATCTATAATTTCGGGTCAATTTCAGTTCAACAGGTTCGTGTTGTGTCTCGGGTTCGCGGGTCAATTCGTGTCACGTGTCATTTTCAGTTCGTGTCATGTCAACCCGTAACCTATTCGTGTCGTGTTCGTGTCGCAGCTCTCAACTATTTTCGTGTCACGGGTCGTGTACGGGTCACACGAAAAAAAAATTGACACGGTGTAAACAGGACACGAACACGACACGCGATACGAATTGACACCGTTAGGTGTGCTAATACCATGACGTTAATTGTCCCCTCTCTCAATAATTTAAATAGAATGAAAGACTATATTGAAAAATTAGTACCTGCGGTGGCATCAAGTTTTTTTCAGTTTTAAAATGTGAAATTATGTTTATTTGAAAAGTGTAAAAACTTATTTTTTTTATCATACAAAATGAAGAATTTACTTTTAAGAGTGCATGAGTATGGACTTTTATCCTTTTATTCTTGATAAATATCCTTTTGTTAGTGTAAAGGGTTATGAATTAAAAGTAAAGGGTAAAAATCGTGATCCATGCACTTTTAAAGGAAATTTGTTAAGATTACCTAAAATAATTTAAAGGGCCCAATGGCCTACTATGCAAAGCACGAGCACAATCACGAGCACGATACATCATGACACACAATAAGATGATATGTGCCTAGGCCATCGAGCTAGACCTATAGTTTTTATTCTTGGGATGGCATGAGCACGGCACGACCCTTCAATAGGCTATGCCCAACACGACATGAAGCAGATATGGGCCTTGCCGATTGTGAGTCGTGCCGACACAACACAACACGATTGATATCACTAGTTTAGGGTTTAGGATAGAAATTTCTGTCTCTGAATTCGGAAATTTAAATGTGCCGGTATTCTTAATTATTAGAATTAACTAAATAAATATACGTCCTAGTTTTTTTTCAACTGTACTTTTATTTTTAAAAACTATAAAGTATTATTTGAATTTGAAAATTTTATTTTAAACCCATTCCCCTCGTGTTTTTTTGTGAATGAAAAAAAAAAATGAAAAAACAAAAAAAAATACCATTACATGTTTTAAACATTTTAAAGACAAAAAAAAAAAAAACCCCCCTAAAAAGAACATATTTTTTTAATCTGAAATTTCGTGTTTTTTCAACGTTTAACATGTTCTTGAAAAATGTTCATCAACAAAAATACTCTGTCTCTCTCCAGGGTTTCTTTCTTTTCTTTGTGTGCCACTATCTTTTTTCTTTTAGGGCCGCAGTCCAACGCCGCCCCCTTGGCTGGCAGCCAGGCCTTGGCCCTAGAGACGAAGCTCTGGGTCCAATGGCAATGATCATGGTGGTGGTGGCGACTTCATGGACGAAGAGGACAGACGAGAGGTGTCGGCTTTTTGGCCGATCGTATTATGTTCGTTGAATCTTTGACATTCCTATAACTTCAAGATTTCTCTCTCCTCATTGCGGTGGTCATAGAGGTCAGGATTATGCTGTTAGTTTTGAAAATGAATTTTTTTATGCAGAAGCGTGTATCTAGCGGATCGTGTATAACAAAAATTTTGACAAACCTTTGAAATACTCTATAGATTACATTAATTTATGCATGAATAAATTAATTTGTGAATAAAATTTACCTAGCGAACGATTAGGTCGATAACTTGAGTTCTTTGACCACAAACGTTCCTCGCTCCACGCTTGTTTAGAATACACAAATCTTCCTCATTAATTCATTAAATCTACGAAGACGTGTGTGTTGGAATACCTGAAACAAAACGGGATTAGTAAATAAACACTCAAGTATTTCATGAACACAAATACATGCATGACGTGGAATTTGGGAGAAAATTTTTCCTTTCCTCACTCTATAAAATTCAGCCACACTATGTTAGGGAGAGCAAAAATTGTGTTATGCAATTTTCTGCTATCTCCTATTTATAGAGTAGCTGTCAGACTCCTAGAGGAAGTCTAAACTTTATCTTAAAGATAAAGCTTAATAATTATCTCCCAATTTTAATTGATTTTGGAAACAAAATCCCTCTCTTTCTTACCCACAGGGGCCGGCCACCACAGGGATAGTCACCTTTATGGTTGGCGCAAATATCAGATAGAAAAGGAGGAAAAAAATTTTCTTTATCTTGCAGTCTAATTTTAACTCGAATTCAAATTCTAATTTTTGTCAAACTTAATTTAATTTGAATTTCAATTGGACAACTTATCAAATAAGTCAATTGGATAACTTAGAGAGCGAGCGAATGAATCCCAAAGGGATTCCCACTGTGCTGGGCATGTACACCATGTGGACTCCTCAACATGTGTGTTCATAAATTCAAATTTAAATAATCACATTATTTAATTTATAATTAATTCTCAATTAATAATTCTTGAGTGTTTTATTTATAATTTCATAATTCTAAAATTTCTATTTTGTCCTTAGTGTCTTGTAGGATTACAAGGATGATGTGGGGACTCATTGATCTATAATTCTGAGCTCCAATAAAATTAATAATTAATTGAAACTTTTTAGTTAATTAATTAATTCTATTAATTCCAAAAGTTACTCTACTATAAACTTAAAATTGCACTCTCGTAATCATATATATATAATTTACTTTTAAACTGTGAAGTGTCATTTTGATACAGTCATTACATATAGATCAATCGTCTATAAATAATTCATAATTAGAGCTAGGTAAAATCCGTTAACCTATCTAAGTACATCTTTATCATTGAGCATTATTGATTCTCTAATAGACAATTATTCATAAAACAAATTCATGAATCGGAACTCCTACTAGTCCAAGTACCGAATCAATCCTCAAGAGAATTAATTATCTGCTTCTTTCTCAAGAAGGAATGAATTCCATCTTGTGTATAAATATTCCCGGCTACTCAATTCGTCATATCTCCAAAATACAAAGAATATGATTCAACATCTTGAAATCTGCACTGAGTAAATCAAAAGACACAAATCCATAAATAAAAGTCTGCTAATAACTCAGGATTAAGATCATTTTATATATGACTATCAGTAGACTCAATTAGAATTTCTATACTTAACAGATTTTATCAGAAATTCATATTGTGTTTGTATCCCGGTTCCACACAATCTCGTTATGTGTAATACACTCATTCAATATATCGCCATATTAACAGTGCAGACAATACTATTCCATTCTAAATAAGAATGACATGTATTAGTAATGTTTTAATTAAAGATTCTGAACTTTAATTAAATTCATTACGAACATTATTTTGATTATTATCCGTAAATATTATCCTCTCACATATAACACTTATATATAATATTTAAGGTAACATAAATAATCATGAAATTTTCAGTGATATTCATAAAATATTTAATAATATATGCACGTAAAATAATGAATAAATTCTTTTATTAAATAAATAATAAATATCATAATGCATCTCATGCTTCTAGGACACTATTTTCAACATATGCGTGGATGGGTAGGTGCTCAACTTCAATGGTTTCGCCGTGCGGGTCTTCACCAGTCCTATATTGGTGTCTTCCGGTTGTGGTATCGCGTGAATTTTCGCTTATCTATCCTCTATGTTCTTGGTGGTCATCTTATTATTGGTAATCTTGTCCGTGTGGATAAGGACTTTTGTCTTAGTTTTTTAGTTTTATTTTGATGCAATAAAGGCGATGTTAATTCCGTCATTTCAACGTTTATATTTTCGTTGTGTAATAACGAAAAGTGTCACCTCACCTTTCTATAGTGATGGTAAGTCTAGTCTGTTAGGTTTAATTCTATGTAGTGTTGTGAGTGACCTTAGTGCTTTGGGTCTTTTGGTCTCGGTCGACTGATTTTATCCATCGGCTGTAGTGATATTTTCAAACGAGCTTTTATCATGCTCTATTATTAATGTGTCAAGTGGGCATTTTTCCTTTAAATCTTGACACTCGTATTCGTCTTTGCGCTTCATTCGTATTTACTAGTGATCTAGTATTTGTCTGTGGTCGAATACCCTTATATTTGGTGGTCATTTATGACTATATTAGAGTTTCTATTGACTACATTATTAAATGAAATTTTCCTATTAAGAAAACAAATTCCGTCATATAAATTCAGTCTGACTAGGGAATATTTGTTTTTAATTTTTTCTACAAAGTGCGGGAGGGATAAAAGAGAAGCAAGTTTTTCAAACTCGAAGACACCTTTGCAGTGTCTAAAAACGAAGGGATAAATTGTACAAAATTAAAATAGCAAGTATATGTAGCTACCCGTTACTTGTTTTTCCTAGGCTTCCCACTCTCTAAAAAGATTATAAATGCTGCAGGTGAAATATTTATTTTTTCTGAATGTAGCTAAACACCATGTAAACAGCATTTTTCTGAAACTTCGATAAAGAACAACCGAACCCCCGATACATTTTGTTTGTGGGCATTAAAATATGAAAGTGAATAAGCATGACAGATCAGAGAAGCTCGAGTGCCTGTATCAGATCAATATTCCATTCCAATTTTTATGAATTCTGGATCTACAAATGTATAATCTATCAGAGTTATTGGTCGGCTCGAATTTTATTACTTCTTGTACCATGCTGATTTACTTTGTAGTTATAGAAAATGTTTACAAGTAAACATGAAAGATTTATCAGGGTAAACTTCAGAAAGAGTGCATCTTGGCACGTTTTCTTGTTTGGTTTATATGGTATATTATGCACTCATAACTCTTCATTTCCCTTTCTTTCTTTCTTTTTTTCTCTCTATAACTCTTCATTCCCCCCTCTATTAAAGTAATACAAACCAATTGTTCTGTTGAAAGAAATACAAAATCACCTATATGCAAATATAAATAGCATATGTAAGGGCATTTTTGTTTTCAGGCGTGTTAAAAAAGAACGCATGAACTAGAAGTTGAGCACTATAAACCATGTAAGATGTAGCCATTAAGGTTTAATCTTAGAATATGAGAGACAGAAAAAGTGCAAGAAAATGCTCTATCCTTGCCAGAATAGAGGCGACCCTATCTTCACAACATGTGCCACTCTATGATACGGTACGTTGAACTTTAAAATACATTCCTTGACTTGAAAGTCGCAAGAGGTGAGTAGGAACTTATACAAAAAAAGAATCAGTAAACTAGTTGTGGTTCAAACTCTGCAAAATCAACTGATCCCGACTCGATGGGTGGCATTAGATAGGCAGCCAAAATCTCAGAGGCCAATGCAGCAACTAGCGGAATCCTCTTCAAGTTCTTCACTAAGGGAATGTCATTGGACTCCCCGACAGCAAGCAGCTTCTCATTAATCTCTACCATCCGGTCCAATTTCCTCTTGAACTCTGGGTTCTCAACATCCAGCACAGCTGGGAAAATTCGGGCTGTTGTGCGATTTGTCTTCACATACAGAGAGAAAAATTGTTAGCGACGAATATACATACCATTGATTTCTTGTCAAGGAAAGTGAATAAAATTAAAAATAGATAGAAATCCACTCCGTTGCCAAATGAAACTCTAAAACTATGTTGTACAGAAATTGAGACTACTTTTCATTCTCTTATGTCATCTTCTCAACCAAGAGCATGAAAAGAATAAGTTTAATTGCAGGACATGTTAACATGTTTCTCCTATTCCTAGCAGAGAACAATGGAAAAGATCCATAAATGCACTGTGAGATATGAAAATCTCTCCAGCAATGCAAGCTTTGTTGAATAAAGCCACGGCTCACCTCAATGATGACATGCATATCAAATTCCTTTGTGTTGAGTCCAATCCCTTCATAGAACGCAGTTCGCTGGCAATCGTTGAGATACATCGTCACGTATACCTGCAACACGAGTTTGAGAGTAATTAAAGAATATTACATTTAGGGTTTAGTCATTTTCAATAACTAATATGCTATTACACAAAATATATCTCATCAGTATAAGCAAAAACATGCAAAGATAAAAATATTCCTCTTTGCACACTTCATAGCATCAAGTATAGCAGTAGTGTGAGTGAAAGCAAATCTTCAACAAAATTTCTTTTGTAGCATAAATCAGTACAGGAACTAAAAATTTACTGATAAGCAGAAGAACCGAGCCCACAACTTTGCCTTCCAGTCGTTAAGAAACTGGGGTTGCGCCTTCATCAGTGCAGAGAAGAAATCACCATGGCGATTCTCATCCTGGCACCAGTTCTCAAAGTACTTGAAAATGGGATAACACTGGTACTCCGGATTTTCCTTGAGATGTCTGTAGATGGTAATGTATCTCCAGTACCCAATCTTCTCAGACAAGTATGTGGCATAGAAGATGAACTTTGGCTTAAAGAATGTGTATTTCCTCGCCTTTGTCAGGAACCCCAAGTCCAGGGCCAAATTGAAATCAGATAAGCCCTTGTTCAAAAACCTACAATTAGTAGAACAATAATGTCATTCGTTCATTAGTTCTTTCAACAGAACAATATTGATACAAACAAGTATATCTTTTGTCCAATCGTTCTTACCCAGCATGCCTGGCTTCATCCCTGGACATGAGAGAGAAAATTTCAGCTACCACTGGGTTGGTTTTCTGCAACATTAAGCCATAAAAAGAAGTCATACAAATAAGTCAAACTGAGAAAAGTAGGAGAATACAACCATTGCATTTAACTAGAACAAACTTCCATCAACAAGTTTTATTCATAAGAATGAGTAGATTCCAGATGAAACATTCAGTTTCTAACTAGTATAAATTATATAAAACTAACTCAAGATTTTTCAGATAGCAAGTAATTAGTTAGAAAACTTTGTTCAGAGAATGAAGCAATAAACAAAGCATTCACGTTTAAGATATTAACCTTGACCATAGAATTTTGCAAAAATAATTTTGTGAAGAATATTAACATTCATATTTTATATTTTGTGTCCAAACAAAAAGTAAACACATAATAAAAGAGAAAGGATACTAAACCCCACCAATGAAAACATCATCATATTTTCTTAAAACAGCTAAGATAAAGGTTCAAGTCTTTCACGAAGAATGGTACTAAATGTAACATATAAAATAAAGAGTGTAATATGATATATGGAAAATTATATGGAAGGGACTATGGTACACATTTGACATTTCTAAAGTCATTATTGCATAAAATAAATATATGTTACACCGCTACCGCTACCTAATAATGTAGAACCTAAACAAAACCACTTTCCAGTTATAACCAAAACGTTACGAAGCAAGGCTAATTACTAAAACGAAAATAGAAAAAAAAAAAAATATATATATATATATATATCTGTAAATATAGAAGCAAAAAATACCTTGAGCCTTCTTCCGAGCTCCTTGTAAAGAAGGAATCCGGAGAACTCAGCAGTGCAAGACCTCTCCAGAAACTCAACAAAGATCTGTCTGAGAGGACCCTGAAGTTTGTCAGCGGCTTCCTTGAACTCCTTGTTCCTGATGAAGTGGGTCTGGTTGTAGTCAGTCTTGAACTCCTGAAGAAGAGCCTCAAACTCCACCTGGTTCAGGTTCTTGTTGATCTCAGTGTTGAAAAGGGTCTCCATCTCATCGAAATCCGTCGTGTAAAACCTCGGCGTCAAAAGGGACTCTTTGATTTCTGTTTTCGATGCCTTTTTCCTCGGTTTCGACGGAGCCTGAGAAGAAGTGGCCGACATTCTAACGGTCGTGAACTTGGAGCGGGAAAAGCTCCTCGGGATTGTGAACTTTGGGGAGACATTGCCGAATTTGGAGATGGGCTTTACGAGGGCCATTTCGGTTGCCATGTTTTTGGAGTTTTAAGGTTTTTTTTTTGTTTATCTTTTTTTCTTTGGGGTTGTTTTGGTTATAGCGGATTTTTGAGCTCCGAAGGAAAGGAGAGAAGGGATATGTGGGTAATATAATGGGATGACAGTGATAGAATCTCATCCAATGAAATCCATGAGTTGAAATGGGAATTTGACACGTGGCATTGGATTTTGGCATGAATTGGTTATCTGATTGGTTTAGATAATGCCACTTGGAACGGGGGACTTGTGGTTGTCGTCCCACTTGCTGAGATTTTCTACTACTATCCTTGTTGAGTTTTCTTTTTTGGATATTTGATTTTCTGTTAAAATCAGCTTTTTTTTTTTTCTTCTTCTGATCCTCCTTGGACTACTGTTTGGTTTTGCTTTGGGATGAGGAGGCCCCTCCTCACCCACTCTTTGAAAAGAATTATTATTATTTGTGCCGGAATTCTACTTGTTTGGTTAATGGGTTATTATTTTGTAACGAAACTTAAAAAAAAAAAAAAAATTAAACTCGAGTTATAATTTTATTTAAGTTCATATTCTTTTATAAAATTTAAGTTTAAACTCGAATTTAAACTCGAGTTTAGGGCTAAACTCGAATTCAAGTTTTCTATTCAACTCGAGTTCATAAACTCGAATTCAAGTTAATGAACAATATTTTTTCTATTCTTAAAACATAATTTCTAGCCAGTCGGTTAAACCGTGTTTCAACTCCAGTTACACACCTGCTTTAGGACAAGTGGGAGATTGTTGGGAATGGTGTCCTAAAAGCGTGAGATGTAATAGGATATTTATTATTTATTTAATAAAATAATTTATTCACCATTTTATGTGCATATATTTATGAATATTTTATGAATATCAAATGAAAATTCCATGATTATTTATGTAACCTTAAACATTGTATATAAGTGTTATATACGAGAGGATAATGTTTAATGATAATAATCAAAAACATTATTCATAATGAATTTAATTAAAGTTCAGAATTTTTAAATTAAAATATTATTAATACATGTCATTCCCATTTAGAATAGAACGGTGTTATCCACACTGTTAATATGGTGAGATATTGAATGAGTATATTTCGCATAATGGGATTATGTGGAATAGGGACACAGACACAATATGAATTTCTAATAATTTCCATTAAGTATAGAAATTCTAATTGAGTCTACCGATGGTCATATATAGAATGATCTTAATAAATAATTCTCTTGAGTGTTGATTCGGTACTTGGATTAGTAAGAGCGCTCTGGTTCATGAATGTGTTTTATGAATCACTATCCATTAGAGAATCAATGATACTCAAGGATGAAGATATAATTAGAGAGGTTAACGGATTCTATCTAGCTCTAATTATGAATTATTTATGGAGGATTGATCTATATGCAATGACTATATCAAATGGACACTTCACAATTTAGAAGTAATTAATGTCTATAATTTTGAGAGTGCAATTCTAAGTTTATAGTGGAGTAACTATTAGAATTAATATAATTAATTAATTAATTAAAGTGTTTAATTAATTATTAATTTTATTGGAGCTCAGGATTATAGGTCCATTAGTCTCCGTGTCATCCTTGTAATTCTGCGAGACACAAAGGGCAAAATGGTTTTTTAGAATTACAGAATTCTAAAAATTAAATATTCAAAAATAATTAATTGAGAATTAATTATTATTTAAATAATGTGATTATTTAAATTTGAATTTGAATTATGAACATAATTTAAATTTATCCTTTTAAACTTATTTGATAAGTTGTTCAATTTAGAATTCAAATTAATTTAAGTTTGACTTAAATTCGAATTTGAATTTGAATTAAAATTGGACTACAGGATAAATGATGATTTTCTCTTCCTTCCCTATATGGAATTGGCGCCACACACACCAGGATAGAAAACCCTAGAGATGGGCGGCCACATTGTGATAAGGTAGAGGAGAATTTTTGTTCCAAATTCAAATAGGAGATAGAGATTGGATTCATTCTAGAAGTTTAACTTCTACTCTATAAATAAGATATGATAAAAAATTACGCGTGATAATTTTTTGACCTAATTTTGAGAGGGCTAGCCAAAATCCCTAATAGAGATAGAGAGAGAAGGAAATTTTTTCTCCTAAAAAATTCCACATCGTGCATGCGTTGGTGTTTGTAGAAATTTTGAGTGTTTGTTCCAACCCGATTTTGTCTCAAGTGTGCCCACACACACGTCTACGTAGATTCAAGGAATTGACGTGGAAGACTTTGGTTTTCTAAACACAAGACTTTAGAGCAAAGATTGTTCGAGATCAAAAGAACTCAAGTTATCGTCCTAATCACCCTCCAGATATTTTTTCTAATTGAATTCTTAATAAATAAATTAATATAATTAATTTATTCGTACATAAATTAATATAATTTATAAAGTATAACAAAAATTTTATGAAAATGTTATTATACTTCGCCTTCCTAGCTTCCCCATCCGAATCAAATTCGGAAACCAACATAAACCACATGCACATATCAATGTATATGTTTAGGTAAATGTCGGCAAGGCTTGCTAATAGGGAAGGATATGGGCCTTGGCCCAAAACCCAAAACAAGCTAACGAGCTTAATTAAAGCCATACTCAACATTAAGGAGTACGCGAGGAAAATTTACGGGTTCTAAAATTTCAAGAGCGAGAATTGCTCGTGGTTAAAAAAATTTAAATTATCGATCTAATCTCTTTAACTAGTAAGATAAATAATTAATTAATTTATTATTATTGTCTAAATTAATATGATTTATAAAGTATATGAGATTTTTTTTTACACTAGCACGATACGTTTCCTCATATTATTTTATGTAAAGTCATTTTCAAACCTGCTCAAAACATAAATATGTCATACTCAGCTCTAATCACATGTTTTTAATATAATCCAATAAAGAGTTTCATCGGAATTGTTTAGAATCAAATATCATACAAAAACCAACACATAAGCATACAGATAGATTTGTCGACACGTACGAAACAACTCACGAAAGATTCCAGATAATTAGGTAAAGAAAACATATAATTCCTGTCCCATTTGAAAACATCTAGAACTTTCTTTTGATATATATTCGTTCCGACACAAGTTCATTAAGGTTATTAAAAACAACAACCCATAAATTTTAAAAAATTATAACTTATTCTACACATATCCGTTTTATGCGATCCACCTAGTAAATCAAAGTTTAGAACCTTTACTAATCAGAATTTTTCTCGTTGACAACCATATTATAATAGAAACTTATAAATTCTTATATCAAAACAAAACAGTCCAATAATCAATACCTATAATATCACAAAAATACAAAGCTTATTATTGTAACATATAAATCTAATCAATCACATATAATCATCATATAAGTCAATATTAAATCAACATACAAATATAATAAATCAAGCATATAATCATCAAACTTCAATATTTAATCATCACTATGAAATAGGGAAAACAAAAATCTAATCTAAATATCAAGAAAACAAATCTTGAAATCATAAAATCATCGTATAACATAACTATTTTATAAACTCTAATTTTTCGACATATTAGTGTCAGTATCATCATCCTTAATTAACCATCATAATTAGTATCAGTGTCATATCACATTATATTCATAATTTAAATAAAGCAATCACAATTGTTGGTTTCCAAAACAATTTTGAGTGAGAAAGCATGATAATGCAGATTGAGTACAAACAAAATTTTATCAAAACTTTTGATGAACGATGAAGATTATATTAATTTATATGCGAATAAATTAATCTAATTAATTTAAGAATATACCTAACGATTAATTAAGATGATAACTTGAGTCTTTAACTATGAACAATCTAAATGCTCATGTTCTCATATCACTAAGAATGTTCTTCATCTCCTCCTAGGTTTTATGAAGACTATGTGTGTTAGTACAACTTGAAAATAAAACAGGATTAACATTCAACTCACTAGTCTCCCACTACTATCAACACATGTACGTAACAGGACTGGGAATTTAGAAAAACTATTCTCCCTATTTTTCTCTCTAAACTTCGACCACAATAGGACAACTAGAGTAAAAATCGTGTTTTCTAATTTTCTACTACTACCAATTTATATAGTATCAATTTGAGTCTCATAGGGAGTCTAATTTATCTCTAAAATAAGACTTCATGAATTGGAGTTTTTACTAATCCAACTGCCGAATCAACGCTCAAGAGAATTATTTATCTACTTCTTTTATTAAGAAGAAATAAATTTCATCTTGTATATTAACATTCTTGGCTACTCGCTTCATCATGTCTCCAAAATACAAGAAATATGATTTAGTAATCTCGAAATCTATACTAAGTAAGTCAAAAGACACAAATCCACAAGCAGGAGTTTGCTAATAACTCAAAATTATGATTATTTTATGTATGACCTTCGGTAAACTTAATTAGAATTTCTACTCAATGAAAATTATCAGAAATTCATATTGTGTCTTGTTTCAGTCCTACATAATCTCATTACGTAAAATACAATCATTCAATATCTCTCAATATCAATGATGCAAATACGTTCGTTCTATTCTTACTGAGAATAACATGTATTAATAATGTTTTAATTAAATATTCTAAACTTTAATTAACTTCATTACGGCCTCATTTGATTATTATCCTTAAACATTATCCCCTAGAATAGAACACTTATATATAATATTTAATATCATTTAAATAATCACGAAATTTTTAATGATATTTATAAAGCGTACTAAATACATATGCACATAAAATAATAAAATTTCTCTTTTATTAAATAAATAAAATTACCATTTAATACCTTTTATGTTCTTAGAACGTCATTCTCTTCTAATATCCTTTGTCACCTATGTTTATCCCAACCTGCATTACTTGTGAGTTGACTGAGGGTTCGTGGAGCCTTAGTTCCAGCTTCCTCGTCCATTATTGATGTTCTTTTTGGTAGATAGATTTGAAATGTGGTGCATTGACGGACGCAACTAAGCTTAGAAGGGGCTTAAGTCCCCCCTTAACTTTTTTTGTGTTTGTTTTTAACCTATATGTATCTATAAAACAAATTAGATATAGCCCCCAAAAGAAAAAAAAAATGAAAATCTAATCTTTAAACCTCCAATTTTTATTTTTTATTTTTAAAGATGTACGTTTTAAAGAAATACTTTTAAGAATATTACTTTCTAAAAATACTACTATTTTTAGGTCCTGTTCATTTCACCGATTCGAGTTTTGTTACAGTAAAAAGCTCTCATAAACATTCACATCTAACTTTTTTGCTACAGTAAAAAACTCTCACATAAAGTCACATCTTAACTCGAATTAAAAACTCGAATCAACGAACTAAACGGACCCTTAACATTAAAAACCTTTTATAACTAACAAATAATTCATGATATGTGTCTATTAGTTTATTTACTTCTAACGTTAGCATTAACTCCACTTAATGTTACTGCTACTATAGAGAGGGCATTTTCTTTTTTCTATGAATATTCTGAAAAATTGTCAATGCAATCATATTAGAGATCAATTGATTAATGATGCATTACTTATGTACATGATAAAATTATCTTAAATAACTTTGATAATGTGGTTATCATGCAATATTTTCTAAGACATAAAATTCTATCGGAACAAATTGTAGTAACTTAAAAATTAATTTTAATCAAATTTTTGATGTAGTTAAAATTAGTCCCTCTCACGAAAATTTTTGACTTCCTCACTGTTATCAGGAACAAATTTCTTGTTCTCATATCACTATGAATGTTCCTCATCTACTCCTCAATTTTACGAAGACTGTGTGTTGGTACAACCTGAAAATAAAATGGGATTACCATTCAACTCACTAGTCTCCCACTACCATCAACACATGTACGTAACAAGACTGAAAATTTAGAAAAACTATTCTCCCTATTTTTCTCTCTAAAATTTGACCACAATAGGACAATTAGAGCAAAAATTGTGTTTTTTAATTTTCTACTACCACTAATTTATATAGTATCAATTAAAGTCTCATAGGGAGTCTATTTATCTCTAAGATAAGACTTCATGAATCGGAGTTCTTACTAATCCAACTGCAAAATCAATCCTCAAGAGAATTATTTATCTACTTCTTTTATTAAAAAGAAATAAATTTCATCTTGTATATTAACATTCTTGGCTACTCACTTCATCATGTCTCCAAGATACAAGAAATATGATTTAGTAATATCGAAATCCATACTAAATAAGTCAAAAGACACAAATCCACAAACAAGAGTTTGCTAATAACTCAAGAAACAATATGAATTTTTGATAATTTTCATTGAGTAAAAATTTCAATTGAGTCTACCGATGGTCATAAAAATTCTAATTGAGTCTACCGATGGTCATACATAGAATGATCCCTCCATATCAATGATGCAAATAAGCTCGTTCCATTCTTAATGGGAATAACATGTATTAATAATATTTTAATTAAATATTCTAAACTTTAATTAACTTCATTACGGTCTCATTTGATTATTATATTTAAATATTATCCTCTAAAATATAACACGTATATACAATATTTAATATCACATAAATAATCGTGAAAATTTTAATGATATTCATAAAACGTACAAAATACGTATGCACATAAAATAACAAAATATCTCTTTTATTAAATAAATAAAATTACCATTTAATACCTTTTATGTTTTTAGGACCATTCTCTTATCTATGTGTATCCCAACCTGCATTACTTGTGAGTTGACTGAGGGTTCGTGGAGCCTTAGTTCCAGCTTCCTCGTCCATTATTTAGAGAGGGCATTTTCTTTATTTTATTATTATTATTATTTTTTGCTATGAATATTCTGAAAAATTGTCAATGCAATCAAATTAGAGATCAATTGATTAATGATGCATTATTTATGCACATGAGAAAATTATCTTAAATAACTTTGATAATGTGGTTATCATGCAATATTTTCTAAGACATGAAATTCTATCGGGAACAAATTGTAGTAACTTAACAATTAATTTTAATCAAATTTTTGGTGTAGTAAAAATTAGTCCCTCTCACGAAAATTTCTGACTTCCTCACTGTTATTGGCTTTAATTTTTTGTGTTTTAAATGAAAAGTTTAAAACATATGATTTGAACTTTTCATTTAGAATATTAATTCAAATCTATGAAAAAAACACTATTATTTTTTTATTCAAAATATTACATCAATTGTTTAAACGAAGACAAAAATATATGTGACTCTGAATCATAAATAACATGCAATTCCCACTTCGTTGGTTCACGATTTACAAATAAAAAATTATTCGTTGGTTCAAATTACCACTCAAATTTTTATTATAATGTTTTTTTAGAAAAATTTTAATTTAACTTTTTTTTTACTACAATATTTTTTCTCACGTGATTTGTTTTTTTAAAAATTCTTAACTCGAACTAGGTTAAAAACTAGTTACGTGTCATTATATTCAGGTTCGGCAAAACGATTTGTTCGTTGATGTCGTTTGCCTAATACAAAACGACGCCTTTTCCACTTCGTTTCACTCCAGCCACCAGCTCGGATTTTATCGGACCCAACAACCCCAAACAAACAACGCATCCATTCCATGGCGACGACAAAGCCAACGTTAGTCCAAGATCCCTCTTCTGAACCCCCTGCGACGCCACAACCACCGCCGGCATCGGCTCCGGTTCCGTCTCCGGTGACTCTCTCGGCCGCGAAGCCCGATACTCCTATCGCAGTTGCCGCCTCCGATGTCAGGGAAATCGCAAGGCCAGCGCTCCCTCCAACCGCCGCCAATCTTCGGCCTTCGGAACCCTCTCCGACCTCCGACGCCGTCGTCGCCCACGTCCCCAGCTACGCCCGTGAGATCTCCATCCCCCAAAACCTTCCAAAAGAAACCCTAATTTGAAGACTAATTTGATTTGTTTTTCTTTTTCTTGTTACAGGATGGTTTTCGTTCGACGATATACACCAATGCGAGGTCAGATTTCTTCCGGAGTTCTTCGATTCCAGGTCGCATTGGAAGAACCCTGGAATCTACAAATACTATCGCAACTCTATCGTCAATCGCTACAGAGCCGACGCTTCGAGGAAAATTAGCTTCACCGACGCGCGGAAGACTCTCGTCGGTGATGTTGGATCAATCCGTAGGGTTTTCGATTTCTTGGAGGGTTGGGGACTTATCAATTACTCGCCTCCGGCGCTCAACAAGCCACTCAAGTGGGAGGACAAGGAGAGCAAAACCGGTTCAGGTGCTTCCCATGGCGGCGGTGAATCTGGAGGAGCTTCTTCGAAGGAGGTAAAAACGAAGAGGCTTTGTAATCATTGCAAGTCTGCTTGCAGCATTGCCTGCTTTGTCTGTGATAAGGTTAGCCCTGTTTTCTTACAATTAAATCATCAACGATATAATAAGGGAATGTTTTCATTTCATGGTATGCATTCAGAGAAATTGATGTGGAGAGAGACGTTTGTTTGTTTGTTTGTTTTGTTTTGTTTTTTTTTGTTTTTTTTTTTCTCTTCTGTATATTATCATTGATTAGGTTATTGTTCTCGAAGAGAAGTTTCTGCTTATAAAATGTAGTTTTCGTTTAAACTGATTTTTCTCGTTACCCAGTTTCTTCATCAAGTGTGTATGAACTGGGAAAGACCGATTTGTTTGTTGAATTGCACTTTGTTTAATGTACGTTTAATATTCAGTTTTGTCCCTTTTTTTTGTTTTTGTTTTTTTTCATTTGCTTGTTCTTTATATGTTTGGACATCATTGCACTATAGTTTTGACGTTTGAACTTGGAGAAATCATGTCTACGCCTAAGTTTCATGAATTTATGTTGTTAGGTAGTGAAGCTGTGTATTTACAGTATTTTACTTGTATCTGAAGTAACGTTTTTTTTTTTTCTTTTTTTTTCCCTCTCTCTCTCACACACATTTTTGTTCTTCTTGGAATGTTTATGCGTGACTGGAGCAGAACGGAATGACTCTCTGTGCTCGGTGCTATGTCCGTGGAAACTACCAGATTGGTGATGTCACCTCATCTGATTTCAGGCGGGTTGAAATCAATGACGATTCGAAGGCTGATTGGCAAGAGAGGGATACTCAGCATCTCTTAGAAGCCCTTATGCATTATGGTGATGACTGGAGGAAGGTTGCTCGACATGTTGGTAGAACCGAGAAGGAATGCGTCTCTCATTTTGTCAAGCTGCCTTTTGGTGAGGAATTTTCTTGTTTTGTGGATTCTGAGAACGTGAATGGCAGTTATGATGTGGGCATGGATCATGGCAGTGTGGAATCATGTGAGACATCCTTGACTAAAAGGATGCGTTTGACACCTCTGGCAGATGCAAGCAATCCAATTATGGCTCAGGTATAGACTGTTGGTATGACACTCATATACTGAAGTAGGCACTAATGCCTAAGGATTTATGTATCCTCCTTAGATGTCCATGTGCAACTTAGTTACTGCTGAGTGGCATTATACTGTATGCTGCGATCTTAGAAATCCAGGCAGAGAGTACTTTTTGCACTTTGTCATCTCTCTCAGAAACTTCACGTGGTTTAGGAAAATTCTGCTTGTGAAAATTGTTGAGAGCTGTGTTCGGATGTTTTAGGATGGACGTGTACGGGTTACAAACCAGTATGTCATTGTCAATGTTTTCTTGCTGAGGATAACGTATTATAACTTAAAAGCTGTTTATCCCTGAGATGTGCTAGAGTAAGGATAGCACCTTATCCTTTTGACGTTGTGCATCTGGAAGACTAGATATTCAGTTGGTTAATCTTGGCCAATGAGAATTAGGAGAGAAAGCAAGGCATAACCCCTTTAAAAGGGATAGTTGTATTTTTATTTTCCAACAATAACACAAATCTTGCTTTATCCATCTTGAATATAATACGTCCCTTTTGCCATTTCCTTTTAGCACTGACATTGAATTTTCCGCCAACTTTTCACTTCACAGGCAGCATTTCTGTCAGCTTTGGCGGGTGTGGGGGTAGCAGAAGCTGCTGCTCGAGCAGCTGTGACAGCCCTTTCCGAGGCAGAATACGGGTCAGTTGGAGAAAGTACTGGATCTCATCTGCAAAAAGGCAGGCAGAAAGGTATGTATGGCTTAGCTAATTTGATGAACCTTTGACTTGTAGATGAGATTTCAACTGTTATTTATCGACTTTTAGAAGCTGTTGTTGCATCCAATGGAAATACCCATTCAAACACAGCAGAGGGAGCTTGGGAAGATGCAAAGTTGCAGCTTGTGTGGGAAGAGCAGGATGTTGAGAGAGCAATTTCTGGAATTGTAGAAGTGCAGGTTAGTGCAAGATAGATTCACACGTAGGAGTAGGTACTATTATGCTGTTAAAGTTTTACTTTCTGACTTTTCGGAGTTGTGCAGATGAAAGAAGTAAAAGATAAAATTGATCGTTTTGAGGCCCTAGATTTGCATATGGAGAAAGAGTGGCAACAGTTGGAGCAAATGAAAAACATGCTTTTTGTTGATCAGCTTACCCTTTTATTTCATAAAAATCCTGCTCAGAAAACTGGAGAGCGCTTGGAGAATAGTGTAAAAACAGATTGATTCTATATTTTTGTTCTTTTCTCTTAATCTTTTCTGATTCTATATTTTGGCGCTCTCATAATTTTTTGCCTCTCATTTTGTGTTCCTAAAAAGTTCACCAATAATTGCTTAAAATTTGAATTAGTTTAATTTCATTGTTTCTATTTCCAACTAGCACAAGTCATTTTAGCTAGCTAGGGAAAATGTTAACAGCGGATAAGAATTAGTAGAAAAAAATAATTAAACACAATTAAGGGTTAATTCTATGAATGGTCCACGACTTTGTTATTAATTTCACTTTGGTTTGTGACTTTCAACACTTTTCGAACTTAATCTCAAATTATTAGTTTGTTTCGGTTTTAGCCCTTTTGTCAATTGGTTGCTAAAACAAGTTGAAATATGAATGTTCCATTAGTCAAGTTTTACTTTCCGTGACGATCACATCCATATTTTTGTGCTCTGTTGGCGTAGTGTTTTTGTCATCTGAATAACGTGTATATTCCGTCTTCTTTTTAACATCTCTCAAATCAGAACGTATTGATAGATTAGGGTTAAGTTTGTGATATTCTAAGTCGGGAAATAAAGTACAACTGGGAATAAATTCAGGGACCATGCATAAGATTGGCCTAAAAATTAAAGGAAACTCATTACCTAGCATGAAACTTTGAGAGTTTATATAGCATTAGCACAGCGAAGGGTGAAAGATACAACACAAGTACACAACCTTCAATCATGTCACAAATGTCAGATACAGAGAAGACCCTCAGCACCTCAAAAAACATTGACTTAGTAGAAGATGCAAGCTTTTCGCATCTGATTCAATAACCTTGACTAGAAATAATGCCTTTTCTTACAGCTACAGTCGGCGAGGTGGGGTGAGGCAGGTCCCAGCAGCCTCGTAGTGAAAACACCCAAAAAAATCCCTTCATGATCTTAAACCGCGCCATCTACAGCATAAAAAACCAAGGAGTCCGCAAGAGCTGCATCGACATTCAATTTACAGTTGTTCCGAGTAGGAGACCACCTAGTAGGCGAAGATAGCGCCAAGGCCTATAAGGTGAGTTAATCACATGCCAATGCTAAAATTCAGATTAGTGGACTTGCAGCATCATTCTTTAAAGCTTCTTGTGAACAAGGGAGTTTTTCTCATACCAAAGAACCCAGAAAATGGCACTGAAGAGTTCCAGAGACATAGTGTCAAGGGCCAGAAACTGCACGACATTTTTCCACCCGGGAAAAAGATGGTGGACCTCCACACTTTCCGGGTAAAATTACATTGCCAAAATGAGTGGAAAGAACTCTCTCTTCTGGTTCCATATCTAGGACAAGTAGAACCACCTTCATGCAGGTTGTCCAAAGTTGGAAGTCGGTCACTAGATTCTCTCAACATAAAGTGCTTCATTTTCATTGAGATTTACACTTGCAAAGTAAGCCAACGCTTAATTAATTGTATCCCTTGGGTAAGGTGAGACCACGAATAAGCAAAAGTGGTGAATTAGCCAACCATTGTTATTGGAAATTACAAATGAATTAAACTTAAGATGATTATCTCTCAAAAATGGGTGCATTATGTTGTCATTCTTACGTGGTACAACCATACAATAAGAAGTTAATATTTGAGTAGTTTGTCTATATTAACTTTGTAACTAGAAATTACAAATGAATCACCTTTAGCCATATTCCAACTATTCTAATCAATTCTTTGTTTTGTTTTAAACTTTTTTTTTTTTTCCAGAATTTTCATCATATACAATGCAATTGTAAATGTATTATCAACCTAATTAGAGATCTCTTTGAATTGAATTGGACCAATCAACTTAGGCTGGTGCCTTTATATTGAGCTCCGTAGCCTTTTTCATTTTTTGAATTTTTCCAATATTATAAAGTTATTTTATTATATTTTTTGAACATGGAATCTAAATACATTTGGATTGGTCATTTCAAACGTAAACGGTGTAATCAACTTAATTCAAGTTTGTTTCTAAAATCTACATCAATTTTAATCCAATTGAGGTCTTTTGTTATTCTCCCCCTCACTTGAGGAATCATGTTAATGTAGTGGAAGCGTAGGCTAAAACTCAAGATCCGTTGATTTGCGGAGAATACCGCAAAACAAAAGCGTGAATAATTTATTGATTCAAAGAATACTGAAAAACAAGTCAAAGAGAGATAATAATCTCTGAATTTTTATTAATCAATCAACTGAAAATAAAAGTACATATAATACCCCTTTAAATAGAGGATTCAAAACTGAAATTAAACTTATCCTATTTTAAAATTGAAATTCAATGTAAAAAACTAACCCTGTTCTAAATTTGGAATCAAATCTAATTTGAAAAAAGAATATCAAATAACAATGCATCTTAAAATTTGAAAAATAACGATGTTAAGATAGCTGGGTCACGCTGCATAGTTACTCATTACCTTATATCTCCCCACACTCGAGGGATCCTCATGATTTTTCTTGTCTCTCCCCTCAATGAGTGGTATACTCTCAGATTGCTCATTCTTCTTAAATGTCCATTATGTTAGAGTTGGACTAAGAGTTGCCTGGCCTGCAATGAGAAAGTTCAATAGACCTTCTATCTCCACAGTCCCTCAAAATTTTCCACCTGCAATGAATTATCAACATAGGAATAGAGCTTTTGGTATGGTTTCGTGTTAATAGGCAAAGATTAGTATGATGTGTAGATTGTTGGTTTCTCAAATCGGATTTTCAAAAAAAAATTGTGCGGAAGCGTGGTATCGATCGAATCACATAAATCAAAATTTAATGTGATCATTATTTTATGTTAATTTAACTACAAAGATATTAAAGAAAGGAATGAGGATTTGACCGTCGTTCGATTAGGACGAAAATCTTGAACTCCTCCAACACCGTCTTGAGCTCTTAAATTTCAAGAACACCACGGTTCTTTCTCAATGTATCTCCGGATTAACGTGAACTCGAACGTGTGGGCGTTCTAATGGGTTTCTCAACACATGAGATGGATGAATAGGGAAGCCACCTATAGTTATCACTTATTTTTCTCAAAAGTATATGATGGCACTTAAGAAATTTTCTTTTGTTCTCCCGTTCTTTTCTTTTTCTTTCTTTATGTTCTCTCTTTCTTTTCTTTTTCTTTCTTTCTGTTCTCTCTTGAAAAAAAAACTTTTTTTTTTTCGTTCCTCCTCTTATCAACAGAATTCATCCCCATTTTGAGTAAATGTGCAACCGCACATTTACTCTATTTCCTCAGGTGAGGAAACGTGCAACAACATGTTTCCTCCCACTCCCTTTTCCTTTTTTTTTTTGTTTGTTTTGAGGAAACGTGCACATGCACGTTTCCTTCCTTCCTTTATATATATATATATATATATATATTAACGAGGGGGAAGGATATATATATATATATATATATATATAT